TGAGATCATGACCTGAGCCGAGGTTGGATGCTCAACTGACTGAGGTGCCCCTCCAGCTCCCAGTTTTTGAGCTTGTTCTTGAGTAATGAGTAAGGTGGATCGGGAGTGAGGGCTTAGGAGAGAGTGGGGGCTGAGGGATGAAGGCTTTTGGGGCAGAGGAACATCATTTGCAAAGTCATAGAAGGAACGACAGATCTAGCATGGCAAAGCCAGAGTGGATGCGATGGAGGAAACAGAAGTAATCCTTATCTTTGAGATGGGTCAGATCTCATTCGAGTTGTGAGCTCAGCCTTGGTCGCCTCCTTTTAAGAGGAATGTGAACAGACTAGATTATCTTGAGAAGAGCAAGAAAAATGATTCAAAGCAGACAGAGGTGAAGGCGTTGATGACTCATAGCTGGGTCTGTGACGGGCAGGGTTGAGAGAGTGTAGGCAGAACTGAAGAGGTGGCCATAATAAGGTTGAAGCCATCTAACATGCACGGGGCGCTTATTCAGGGGTAGGCAGGCTTTCCAGTGTTACACCTATTTTCACTCATTTATTCCTCACAGTGACCTACTGAGGCCAGCGCTGTTATTCTCATGCCCACCAGGGTGAGAAACTGAAGACTAAAGTAACTTGCTAAGACCACAGGGCCAGCAAGTAATTCAGCTGGGGTTTGCCTCGACCGGAGGGCCTGCTGGTTTTCAGATTGGTGTGTGGGTTTGCGCTCTTCTGAAACCTTGCTGCTCTGTTCGCCTTTGGCCTGCCGAAAGAATCATGGCTTGTTGCGGTGGAGAAGGAAGCAGTGAAAACAAAGTGCGGGTGACTTTCCTAAAAAATGACTCCCTGGTGGAAGATAAATTTCTCCTCTGCGTTCGCTGAACGCAGAGGGGATTGGTCAGAGGAAAGCGGAAGCTCTTCCCGGGGGAACTGGGATGCCGGATTTGGATATCTGAGCCAGTTTTGGAAAGAGTTCAATCTCTGGAGGGTTTGGAAACGATATCTTATTTTTACATTTTAAAATCTTGGTTTTTTTTTTTTTTTTTTTTTAAACGTTTATTCATTCTTGAGGGTCAGAGAGAGACTGAGGGCGAACGGGGGAGGGGCAGAGAGAGAGGGAGACACAGACCCCGAAGCAGGCTCCAGGCTCTGAGCTGTCGGCACAGAGCCCAACACGGGGGCTGCAACTCATGAAGAGTGAGATCATGACCTGAGCCCAAGTCAGACGCTTACCCGACTGAGCCATCCAGGTGCCCCTTTATTTTTACATTTCAGAATGCATTAAATTGTTCTGTTTTCTTCCCCCATGATTTACGTTTAACGGATGTGGGATTCATTAACCAGAGGGAAGAATAAAATACAACCAGATAGAACCTTGGAGCAGCTTTCTAAAATTCTTTGAAACAAAATGCGTTATTCTTGTTTCCTGTTCTCATTTTGCTGGTGGTCGCGACAGCGGTAGCTTTGGGTTACAACTGTGCTGTACTTGGGGATAAGTCCCTTCGACCACAACAGCTGCCATAATTCCTGGCGGGGAGTGGGGGCGGGGCGGATGTGTGTGTGTCGAGGGGGAGTGAGTGGCGTGGCCTTTCAGCTGCTGTGGGCAGACCGACTCGTTTGTACTTCATTTGACCACAGTCTGTCTTTGGAAAGATGCTGCTGTTTTAGATTTTTTAGGTTTTAGATGGTGTTTAGGTTTCAGATTTTTACCCAAGCATTTATGCTGTGACTGAGTATTGTAAACTGACAAAAATACTCTCCTTGGTTAACGCAGATATCTGCTCCTTGGCCTTTTGGGCCTGCCTGACAAGATATTTGTTATTCCGAGAGCCCTGAAAACGATAGTGTCTCCGCACTGTTCACTCACATCTGTATATCCCGCCCAGCTGCATACCTTTTAAATGTTTGGGCTTTGCTCTGATTAGGTGTTTACATCGCCCTTTCCTTGGAGATTAAAGCGGATGCGCATGTCCGGGGTTATGTTGGAGAGAAGATCAAGTTGAAATGCACCTTCAGGTCGACTTCATCTATCACTGACAAACTCACTATAGACTGGACGTACCGACCCCCCAGCAGCAGTCGTACTGAATCCGTGAGTATTTCCTCTTGAGGAAACTTCTTTGAGTCTTCTGTGGCCCACAGCTCTGGAGTCCTTTTACTCCAAGGCCCAGGCCCCCCCTTAGACCTTCTCATCTTAGAATCAAAGATAAGCTTCTGTCCTATATGGCATCCATTTGGTCACATACGGCTTTTTATTCTTCTATGGGAGGATTTTGTAAATACGCTATATAGGAAAAAAAAATTGCCAGAAACTCAGAGGAAATGTGGTTCACTTTTGTTTCCCGTTTGTTGTTTCTTTTTGCATGTTTTCCTAGCTTATTTTCAGATTCCAAGTACTACCACGAGTATCTCCAGGACTGCTGGCTAGAAAAAATTCTATCGGTCCCAGTCATAGACATCCTGTCTCATAAAGCTGCTCATTTCCTGTGGCATGAGGTTGTCTCAATGGGTGTATCTGTTTGTGTATCTGTTCTCAGTAGATTTATCTTGGCACCGTGTCCTAGCATGTAAACATCTGCACTGATTTATATAGTTCCCTTCAAAGGGGATGGTGGCACCTCGTGTTGATGACAGATGCTGTTGGTGACAGATGGCCTTGCAACGTTAGAAGCAATATACTTTATACACACATATAACACACATTTATGGCCCAGATCCCATTGTTGATGTCTAATTGGAGATTGCAATGCTATTAAAAAACCCTTTCTCTTTATGCTTCCAGCAGCATCCTTTGTTCAGGATAGATGCTATCGAGGATGCAAATGTCATAGCTGTATTTTCGAAAGTATCCCTAGTTTGTTTCTACTGTGTTCTTCCCTGGGAAACTTTCTCTTTGATCTTAATATATAAGGTTTGGGTTTTGTTTCAGGACCCATTATTGAGAGCCACAGAGCTTGGAACCAGGTAGGGGGCTGCAGTGAAGGAAGCTAGGCTGTATTCCTGGTCCCTCTTCCTTAAAACAGTTCATTTTGTTTTGAGTTATCGGAAAACTATAGCTGGCCTTATTTGGCTCTGCCTCCTTGGCCAAAAGCAGGACAGAGCAAGCAGTGGGAATCTTCTTGGGTCAGAAACCTTAAATGCAAATAACAGTTCTCATATGGTGCTGTTTTTTCTGTGAGACTGATTAGAAAGCCAGCAAGCTCACCTGCATTGGAATCAGCGGACCTTTATTTATTTATTAAAAACGCTTATTTATTTATTTGAGAGAGACAAAGTGCTAGTGGGGGAGGGGCAGAGAGGGAGGGAGACACAGAATCCGAAGCAGGCTCCAGGCTCTGAGCTGTCAGCACAGAGCCCGACGCGGGGCTCGAACTCACGAACCGTGAGATCCTGACCTGAGTCGAAGTCAGCCGCTCAAACGACGACGGAGCCACCAGGCGCCCCCTGGAATCAGTGGACTTTTAAAGCCCCGTTACATGATGTCGCAGTCCAGGCCAAGTCAGTCAGGATTCTGTCTGAGTAATCGGTTAGCGAATATTAGAGAGTCACCAGTTTAACGTGGAACTTACAGGTTGGATTAATCTTAGAGATACACAGCAGGATTTGTTTTGTCAGTGAGGAGCTTCAAGCCCTTTTACAGAGATGCTGATGATCAGTGGTCGGCATTCTTCACCTCCCTCTTTGTTCGTTTTCAAGATTTGATTTTTAAGTAATCTCTACACCCAAAGTGGGGCTCGAGATCAAGAGTCGCTGATCCACCGACCGAGCCAGCCGGGTGCTCCCTCCCTCCCTCCTGTCTCATGGCGCTCGTCACACACGTTATTATTTCTTCCTATCTGAATTTCCCCCTTAGACCGGAAGATTCATGACAGCAGGGACTGACTATGCCTGTTTGGCTCTCACTATATCCTTTTGCTTAACCCAGTGCCTAGCGCATAGTAGGGGTGCCGTAAATATTTGTCGAATGGATACATGGATAATGGAACTGAGAAGTGATTCAGCATCTTCTCCGGGAAGTTGCTCTTCAAAATTGGACAACTGAGTGCTTGCAAATGGGAAGGTACCAAGTAAACAGATAAAGAGGAAGGCCTTGAAACGTTGCACAAGAGAGAAAGATCATATTGTATTGTAGTACTTGCCTGGCCCACCACCAGACATATACTGAGGTGCTTTTGGCGACAAAGTGTCTGATAATCGATCTGAAGCAACGTCATTTTGATTCAACAGACATTCATTGAGTACCGATCACGTATTTGACTTGCGGTGGGTTTGTAATAATTGCCAAGATAACTTGAGAGACGCTTGACTATATCATAAGAGAATATTTGAGAATGAACAAGTACCTTCCCTTGCCCACTTACTAGCTGTGTGCCTTTGAGTAGCTTGCTTAGTTTTTGGACTTGTTTCCCTTTCTATAAATTTGGAATAGTTGTACCAGCCCCATGGACAGTTCACCGTTGTTATGACACTCAAGTGAGTAAATCTATGGGAATCATTTGCAAACCATAAGGTGGTATACAAATAATTAGCTGCGACTTTAGAGTAGGGTTTCCCTGGGGTGCCTGGGTGGCTCAGTTGGTTAAGTGTCCGACTTCGGTTCAGGTCATGATCTCACGGTTGGTGAGTTCGAGCCCTGCGTCGGGCTCTGTGCCGACAGCTCAGAGCCTGGAGCCTGCCTTGGATTCTGTGTCTCCCTCTCTCTCTGCTCCTCCCCTGCTCATGCTCTGTCTCTCTCTGTCTCAAAAAAAAAAAAAAAAAAAAAAAAAAAAAAAAAAATGTTATAAAAAAAAAAAGAAGGGTTTCTCAGCTTTGGTACTACTGACATTTTGCGCTGGATAATTCTTTGTTGTGGGGGCCTACCTGGCACACTGTAGGATTTTTATCAGTATTCCTTGACCTCCACCCACTAGATGCCAGTGGCAGTCTCCCCAGCTGTGACAACCAAAAATGTCTCCAGATATTGCCAGATGTCTCCTGGAGGCCCCAATTGCCACCACCCAGTTGAGAACTACTGCCTTAGGACTTCAGGGAGAATTTGGAAGAGCTTTGAGAGTTAGGATTCTGGGACTCTTTTGTCAGGCCTTTTCCTGATAAGTTGTATTAACTTGTCTTTTAGCCTATAGGAGGGAGGTGAACAAAACATGAAAATAAAAAAATAAAAATAAAAAAATAGGATGGAGGTTAACAAAACGTAAAAAAAAAAAAGTCCAACCGAGAAAACCCATCATGCATTTGCATTTTGTTTTGGACCTGCTGAGCTTTACATTGTCACTGCAGTTTGGAAATGAACTTTCTTTCCTTCTGGTGTTTGCTTTTCTTAGATTTTTCATTATCAGTCTTTCCAGTATCCAACCACAGCAGGCACGTTTCGGGATCGAATTTCCTGGGCTGGAGATGTGTACAGAGGGGATGCGTCTATCAGCATCAGCAACCCTACCCTCAAGGACAATGGGACATTCAGCTGTGCCGTGAAGAATCCCCCAGACGTGCACCATAACATTCCCGTGACAGAGCTAACAGTCACAGAGAGGGGTAAGCTAACTGCCGCCAACCTGCTGCGGGGCTTTGTGCCTCCTGTGGCGCTTGCCCGGGTCAGGGACAAGCTAAACTACCTGTCTTTGTGAGCCGGTCAGTCAATGGGGACTTCTGCCATGCTAATTGTCTCTTAGGATGAATTTCTTAATCTTTACTTTGCAACCTGCAGTTGTCATTCAATTGTTGTTCTAGTTTCCCCGTGAATCTCTTTTATTTTAACTTCAGGTGACCAGAGGTCTTGTGGGATGCATGGCAAACCCCTCTGTAAAGGGGGGCTTGTTACCTGTGTGAAAGATAGGTCATTTGATTTCCCTAGTCCGTTTGCACCCTCAGTTGTGAGGCCGTGTTCTTGCCCGTGTCTTGAAAGGGTGCCCCCTCTAACGAGGGGGGCAGCATACTTCTTTTATGTTGGAAAGGGCAGCAGTTTCCTTTTGGTGTGAAACCCAAGGAAAGTAGGTTAAGGACTGACCTTTTTTTTTTC